CACTAAAAACAAACTAAAATTAACTCAAGTTAAATAGAAATTAATAATTTGACGACATAAAAACTTAATAAAATGGTCTAAAAAAGTGCATAATTTGTATTCATCACATATCTATTAAAATAAATGAAATGCGAACCTGTCCAGGGTTGATGTAACATTGGAGGTCCCCACTAAATTATAATTGGATCTGTTTCTCTTGGACAACGATTTTTTCCTTGGTTCCATATCATTTTATTTTTATTTTTTTTTGCATGTGCCAACCGTGCCTATATGAAATTATAATGAATTTCCTTGTTTTGCTTGATTTGTATTTCAGTTCAGTATAATATGTTGGATCACTTTTTTTTCATTTCAAATTGAGTTATTTACTACTAATCGACTTTGGAAAGTTGAGTTTGAATCCATTTGAAAAATAAAAAATAAACCATAAAATTTTTTATACGGATGCTTGTTGGGGTGGGATTGTCTGATTTATCACTTGATTACTCCAAATTGAAGTTTAGTGGCCGAAATGCAATTAGGGTGGAAGTTCAATGACCTCCATGTCAATAATATGCAAGGGGTGGATACATTTGAATTGTATTAGTTTGCGGACATGTTTGCTAATTCCAGGAGGCACATTGGCCGAACTCAAATGGAGTGATTGATTGTCTCTAAATTAAAGTTTAGCAGCTTGATTACTCTAAATTGAAGTTCAATGGAAATCCCGCTATTAGGGTGGAAGTTCAATGACTTCTAGTGTAATTAACCTTAATAGTACTAATGAACTAAGAGCAATTCTAAAAGGTTGAACCCCAACCTTGAGGGCTCCCACCACCCTATCCCTGGAGTATCGTGGGGAGGTAAATCGTGAGATGTACCTCAGTAGGTCAGGGAACAAGAATTTGCCTGTACACTGGTGCCCACAAATAGTCCAATTCCATATCTTAGAAATCGAACTCTTATACTGCGGCTGCCAACAAGGCTGAGATTACCTCATTCATGTCCTTTACACCACTGAATTATGTCCCGGAGGACAACTAAGAGCAATTCTGCTGGTACAGAATTGCATTTTACAGAATGCCAACTAATAAGACACAATAAGGGGGTTGGGTGATTTTTTGACATTTTTTATCACAATATGAGACCTGCATAATGTGAGATTTCTGGTGCAGAATAGTTTTATGTACAAATGGAATAATTGATGAACTAGAGGACGGGAGGAAAGAACAAAAAGTCGAACCACAATTCAAAGCATTAAAATTATTAGCTAGTCAAAATATTAAAATTAAAGTCACCCACCTAAGTTGTTCTCTATCATAATTATTTCGTTTTAATTTATTGTTCTCTTTTTAACACTTTTTGTGAACACAATTGAACTATAGAAAGTTTAATTATATATTGTATATACTTTTTTGCGACTACAAATCGACTAAATTAGGGAAATATTGAATATTTCATATATGTATGTAAGTTGTCTCAACATTTCTATTGTATGATTTATTTAAACTTAGGTTCCATCTTCAAATGTTAAAATCGTCAAAAGAAATAGTCTAAACTCTTAATGTGGAGTCATATTTAAATATCAATCGATGAGTCTTTGCAAGGTGATGGCTCATTTGAGTTGACCAATTTTGAAATTCTTGTGCACGTTTATGAGTTTTAATCATATTGAATTTTTTATTACACTTAAAATAGGCTTCGATGTCATTTTAGAACTTATAAGAGTTCCTATTCAAAATATCAATCTCGTTAAAAGTAGTACAAATTTTTATACATTTCTTTATATTTCGACTACTATTTGACATGAGATTTATCCTTTGTGACGTGCAAAGAAAGAGAAATGAGAAAATCTCTGCACAGTCGTTTCTTCAATATATTGTAAGGGCCTGTTCGGAAGTGTTTATGACAATTGATTATTTGACCGTTGGAGAAAAAAGTAGGTTCCACCCATAAATGAAGAAGTTAAAAATGACGGCTGAAATAGTGAAATAACGGTCAAAAAATTAAATTTTTTTGGTGAAAAATTGCTACCAAACGGAGGCTAAATCTATGTTCTCATAGCCATAAATGTTTGTTTACTTTGCTCTTTATTTGATTGCTTATTTGTTTATTGCTATCTGGAAAACAGAAATTATGACTTAAAATTCATAATATTTCAATAAAAATTCTAGAAACTATGAATTATGAAAATTTAAATTGATTTGTTGACAGGATCTACCTAACAAATTCTTTTCACATGGGTTTACCATAGTTTCATCATTGCCTATTTAAAAATAGCAAGTTACTCATAATTGAATATATTTTTAATAAAGTTTAATGAACTGCTTAACACATATACTATGATTGGATCCAAAACTTAGTTTCTTTTAACCCTGTTGCTGTCAACTACAAGTCATGTTTGCTTGTTGTCCAATGTTGACATGTGAATCAGTCACATGTTCACACCCTTTTGACCACCAAAAAGATTGAAAAATAGAAGTCTAGTAGTCGAAGTAAAGATTTATTTATAGACAAATTATTTTTTTTTTTGTGATTGATCTCACATTCCAGTTTTTGGGATGAAATTTTTTTAACATCGGCCGATTTATTCTCATCAGTAATTGCTCAATTATAGTCCCGTTTGGTCCCCGTTATTTTAAATTATAATTTTTCTCTTTTTTTCAACTACAAAATTTTTATTAAGAATATTTATTTTTCTTCTATATTTTTCATACAATGTCTCTCATTTAAATATCCAGAAGTGAGAAGATAAAAAGACAAACAGATTGATCGACGCGGCCTGCAATATTGGCAGGTCAGGGATCGGTCCTCAAATTTGAAAAATGGTCTCGATAGTCCGGTTCATATTTTCAAAAGGGCAAACTCAGGCCCAGAATGGGCCTGAACCAGGCCTAGTTGTAAGCAAATCAGCCGAAACCGATCCACAAATTTTGACACCACTAAATTTGGTGTAAAGATTCAAGAACAATTTTATGGTTACTAGAATACCAAAATGGCAGTTACATTCATCACATCTCCTCGGGTTAATTACATTAATGGGTACTAAATTTTGCCATACGTTACTACTTAATAACTAAACTTTAAAATATATCTCACCGATCACTGAACTTTGCTAAATGATACTTCTTCATAACTAAACTAAAAAATATATTTCAATGGTCACTAAACTATGCAACGCATTACTCATCCATCACTCAAATGACCATTAAATTCAGATACCATTAAAATACGCGGTGCATAGTTTAGTGACCATTGAGATATATTCAAATATTAAGTAATAACAATTTTTTTTCCCCTCAAATCGACCTCTATAAAAAAAGAAACTAAAGAAAATGAAGTTGAAAAATAAAATCGACCTTAGTTACGTTGACACTAATTCGAACATTTTTGTATATATTTTTTTATTTTTCTTTGTCATTGTTCCTACTATTTCTTTTTGAATCTTTTCACACAAAGTTCAACATACGTAAACTAATACCAATTAATCTAAAAATCAAAAGTACATTTCATCGTAATGAAGACTATATATAAAATAAAAATAAAACTTTTTCCTTTCATTTTCTTTAGCCTTTTTCTTTCGCGGGGATCTATTTAAGGAGGGAGAAAAAAAAATTTGTTACTACTTAATAATCGAATTTATAAATGTATCTCAATAGTTACTAAACTTTACTACTTCATAACTGAATTAAAAAATGTATTCCAATGATTACTGAACTATTCACCGTGTTATCCATCTATCTTTGAGTGATAGATAAATAACACGGTGCATAACGTCAATGATCATTGAGATACATTTTTAAGTTTAATTATAAAATAGTAGCGTATGACAAAATTTAGTAAGGGTGAACATAGTTCCATTTAGTTCTAGTTCTAAAGGAACTTAACCGAACCATAAACCAATAGTTTTCTTGATAATAGAACCAAATGATTTTTTTAAAAGTATGGAACCAAACCAAATCGATCCATTGGTCTAGCAGTTCTATTACTTAAATTTTCAGACTTATGCCATATCCAAACTTAATAATATGTACTTAAACAAAAAATATAAGCATAAAACATTTAGCAAGTTCAAATTATCAATCATCAAGATTTCAAAAGTTCAAACTAACAAACAAAATATAAACGAATGTTTCTTTGCCAAAAGTTAATAATATCAAGTTTCATAATAGAAAAACTTAACCCTTACCATCCAGACAATCATTAATCGTTTAGTACTCCACTGCTTCTTTTGAGGCATATGCAAGATAGCCTTTCAGGGGTTTGAATTTGGAGTAATACCCTTAATGGACTATACAAAAATAATGGCTATCAGACTGGTTTCAATTAATACAAGATTAGATTTATATAGAAATAAAATTATAAATTAAGTTTGATTTGTTTGGTTCTCGATTCTAGAATTAGAACCAAACTTGAACCAGAATCAGAATCAAATGGTTCTCGATATGAAGAACCAAAACCATTCATTTTTATTTTTATTTTTTTGTGGAACCAAACAAAACCGCTCGATTTTGTTTGATTCTGGTTTGATTTGATTTGGACATTTTGTCCACCCCTAAATTTAGCAAATTAAACCTCTCGTCATCCATAACTACAAAGATGTCATGAATGAATAACACCATAACAGTTCACAACAAAATTAGGCTACCAAACTTTGAACTTTATCTGAAAAGCCTAAAATTCAAGTACTCAAATGGGAACCACAATTTTTTGCTTTTCGAAACCCATAAAAGGCATAGGCAGCCATAACAAGGGCACAATCCCGAAAGTCTACACCAATATGCAAGCCTATCCGTGGCATTGGCTTAACAAGACCCTTTCGTACTTTGTCATGGCATAACAATGCCACTCACATTTTGATCAGATCATGACGCAGGTGAACATTTTATACATTCATTCTCACTTGTTCACCTTTCTAATTTTTACAAGGGGACGCGACAATAAATGCTTTAAAGCTAAAATATGAAAGTTGCAAGGTATTGTACCTTCACCGTGAAAGGCCATGCTAGCAAGTCCACATCTTTTAGATGGAGAACAATTAAGTATATTAAATTAATTATTAGAGCACTAGTTGGAAAATATTTCGCAATACAAAGCTGTATTAAGGTAATCAATGTTCGGATTTTGCACACGAAAAAGCTTAAAGATTCTACTTTTTCAACACCTATGTTTCATCAACATTTTTTGAGCTTTTTTCCTTCTCTGCGTTGGCCCTCTGGTGAACACAACATAGCAGAAAAACCAAAACTTTGACACGCAACTACCATGGCCAAGGCAAGAAACGGTTCTTTAAAGAATTCCTTTAATGAAACTCATAACTCTTCTTTGCCTGTAATTTAATGAAGCATTAGCAGTTAGCAACTTGATTCCTAGCTACCAAAGAAAAATGAATAATGGATGAAATTGTAAAGTTACCAGATGCACTGTTCGTCACCAAGTTTTGTTGAACCTTTCTTGCCATCCGTTTTGTAGCCTCCGCTGCAATTTTCCCAACTCAAAGTAAATAATTTTCAATCAACGCAAATTTGATAATATATTTTTCAAAGCATGGAGCTTGGAGGAAACTTAGCCTATGTTTGGCCCCCATTTTTTAAAATTCATTTTTCCTGAGCTCAGTTTCAATCACACATTCTCTCAATAAAATAATAATTTTGCATGTGGACCCATAACTTTTCCATACTTCTTAACCACACATTCTCAAAAATAAAAAATAAAAAATACTATTCACAAAATGTATTCTCAAAAAATTCTCTACCAAACTGGGTTTAATGTTTTTGTTAAGTATATATTGGTCCAAAGTATGTTATTGAGCATGATAATTTCTACCATCCCCACCCATTTAAATGATCATTTACGAATTTCTATGTTAATTTAATTTACAAATTAGCTTAATATTTCACCTTTGAATTTTCTTTTCTTGTTTGACCTTCTCCTTTTCCTATCTGCCTTGGTTAGCTCTGTTTCTTCTTTAACGACTCCTTTGCCAGCAAACACTTCCTCAGGAGCAAGCATTGCTGCATCAGAGACTGCCAGAGGTGCAATCTACCAAAGAAATTACGTTAATTTTCAACTATAGAAGCATTACTTGTATAATGGAAGTACCCAAAAAATCAGATAAGATGATGATTTACCTCTTCCATTGCCAAGGCAGGAACATTTGATTGTATGGACATGTCCTCAATGACCTTTCCAAGTTAATTAAATACAAATGTGATTTAAAAACCTTCTCCAGAAGTCAATAAAACTTTTGTTAAAGTAAAGAACGAGTCATAATACAATAAGTAAGAAGCATACTGGTTTCGGAGTGAAGTGGAAATGGGATAAAGCATCCAATTTTAAGCACAGTTTCTTAAATAACAAACTTGCCTGAAAAGGAAAACAAAAGAGTGAGTGACTCACTAATTTGGTAAAAATGTTGACAAAATTACTAACATTCAATGAAAACAATAAGAAAACAACAGAAACAAGGAATACAAACTTTTTGAGTCACTATATCATTATTGCATATACAGATTAAATACAAAATGGTAAATAATAAGAGAAAAGTGAGACTAACGCACTTCTTTCTTTTGCTCATCTTTAAAAGACAAAGCTGTTGAAACAAGGCCAGTCTTCTGAACATATTCATCCTGCAAGGAAAAATGTTCCATATCATTGTGATGAAAAAAAGATACAAAGAAAAATGTTCACATTGTCAAAAAAGTTCATATAATATTACAATATGAATGTGTATATCACAAAAAATAGACCAAAACTACCCACTGGAAAGATACTAACCTCATAAAGTGCAGCAAGGCCCTTTCCACTCTTATTCTCATCCTGTACATTTAAAGTTACTAGAATTAGGAAAGAAACAAACTCCAAGGAGAAACATCTGAAGAAAATGAAATACATACCAATTCAACTTTTTCTCTCGGTGACTTGGATGGTAAAGAAGGGGGCTTCTGGACATCATCAAAACACCCCTATATATAGTACCATAGATAATGATGATTCAGTGAGAAACAATAATAAGAACTCACAAATTAACGGGCATAAATCTTAGAAATACACTATCAGGAAAAAGAAAGAGATTTTTCTTTTTCACTAATCATCTTGATCTTCCTTTTTCTAACCACCATTTCTTGTACTACAGAACATAGGGTAAGCATAAATAATTTCCTAAAACTGCACCCTCAACACCTAAAATCTCCCCTTCAGCTTCCCTTGAACCAAAAATTTTCAGCATGTGCATTTCTTAAAGAGGAAAGGCAGGGAGGGGAAATACACACTATTTTTCTTTGTGATTGTTTGGCATAACTATTATCTCAATCATTCAAGTTAATACTCCAAAAGTACATGTAAGAAGTCTCAAATACAAAGCTAATTCTAATGGCGAAGGAAAAGAATAACTTGTTCGTCCATATAAACAACGAAATTCGAAAATCATGGATGGATGTCAAATTTCACCTCAAGGATGCGTTTTTTAATCAACTCTTCAAGGGATGCAGTGACCTCTTCTGTGATTACAGGGGCAGGTCTGACATTGTGCTCAAATTCCAGATCAACTTCCAATGCACTATTCTTTGGTCTTTTAGTAGCAGTTACCTGACATTATTCGATAGACAACCAGAAAATCACGCTTTTGTCATATGCATTAGTTGATAGCTGTGGTAAAAAAAAAAAAAAATAGAAATTGAAAAATATTACCTCACCCTGCATCATCCAGGTTTTTTGCTCTAAATTCGCTTTCTCCATTGCGTCTATCTCAGAACGGAGCTTTTCTAGCTCTTTTTCATGCGTAGAAAGGTTGTTTTTCTTCTGTAATAATTAAAAACAAAAAACTTTTTGAGTACATCAATTGGTATCAATGGTGGGCAACAATTCTTGAACAACTCCATATAGATTATCATACAATTACTTTGGTCTAAACAACACACACATATGTGGAGGGTGGGTTGGATGCTTAAAGAAGATAAATTACCTGATTATTGTCGCCATCATCATCTGATCCACTTAATACTTTAGGTTTCTTCCCCTGACCAGTTCTTTTACCACCAAAAAAGTCCTCATACCTGAATGGCACAGACAAAAAGCCATCTTTAAGATGTGTGAGTATCTATACTTGCAAAAACAACAACAACGAGAGACATTCAATCCAATTAAAGTGTTTGTTTGAGAGAATTATTTGAAGGGAAAAATGATTTCTTTTGGAGAATGTGTGGACTATGGAAAAGTTAAGGGTCCATATGCAACATTATTTTATTGGGAGCATGCAAAATGAGTTTGAGGAAAAATAATTTTCAAATAAGCTATGCCAATACGTCAACCTTATATTCAAAACACGAGCCAAGTTTTTCATTACACCTTTAAATCTTAAAAATGATAACTATATAAATGGAATAAAAAGAGCAAAAGAAAGGACAGAAAAATCACACCTTGCACTTTCCATCTTATTGCCATCTTCTTCTTCATCTTCATCCTCATCATCAAGCCCGATCAATCCAAGCTGCGAAAAAAATTGTAAATCAAAGTGTTAGCTCAATGATTTTTCCAACCTAATCGAACTAGCACTTCAGTCCCATAATTTACTAAACCGAGAAAAAGCAACGTTTAAAAAAGTCAAAAATTGCCAAGAAATTCCATAATCCTACCTCATTGTACTCATCTTCATCGTCCTCCTCGTCATCTTCATCCTCATTCGTAATTTCACGTATCTTCCTCCTCTTCCTCTTCTCTTTCTTCAATCCATATTCCTTCTCCTCATCGTCGACCAAATACTCCTCCAATTCCTTTATCTTCAAAAACTTATCTTCCACGCCATTTTCATTTCCCATGTCCTCGTCTTCCATTTCAACATCAGTGTCATCGTCACCGCCATCCTCCTCCTCTTCGTCTTCATCAAAGCCCTCGTTCTCACTCTCTAAATCATCAATCTCCTCCCCTTCTTTACTCACTAATTTATCATCCTCATCCCCATCCCCATTCCCATCTTCAGTCTCTTCTTTTCGATTTTCCCTAAAGCTCTCTCTCCCCAAGTCGAATTGTTTCTCAATCTCTTCAGGGTTTTTCTCAAAGTGTTTGACGTGGCGGCGAAGGGAGAGGAGCAGGGGCTGGGATTGCAGGTCAATTTGCTGCCATATCTGCTCGGCGTCAAACCCTTCGGTCAACAGGTGACTGAACGGAGATTTGGGAGCGAATGGCTTGAGAGATGAGTATAGGTACCGCGACGCTATTCGAGCAGCCTGTGAGAGGTCCGGTGACGGCGAGAGGAAGAAAGGTGGTTCTGTCGATTTCAACCGGTGGAGGGAGTCGAGGCCTGCCAGTTTTGCGCCGCTGTCGGCGGTGGAAGCCATGAAGGTCGTGGTGGAGCTCCCGGGAGAAGATGGCCGAGTAGGGGTAGGGTTTTAAGACGTTGGCGAAAGGTTAGACAAGTTTCACATAAACGACTTGGAAAGGGAAAAAATAAGCAAAGCAAAACCTAATTCTGGTTTTGATATTTCTTCTTGGGCTTGTTTGGGCCCGATTTTTTCATCTAAAAAATTGATTTTTTAACCGTTATTTCACTATTTTAATCGTCATATTTGACTTCTTCTCTCACAAGTAGACCCCACTTTTCTCCTAACGATCAAAAAATCAATTCTAAAAATCACTCCCAAACAGGCTCTAATATATTCTACTCGCTCCTTGCCTTAAAAGAAAGAACGTGATATTTACTATTCATTTTTGTAACATAGATTTTCACATGAAATTGTTTTGAAATTGATTTAATAATAGTAAATTACTCTATTCAATTATACTGTAGCATTCTTTTCACACGTCATCTCACTATTTTCGCACGTCGTTTCACTCATTTCTCCATTTTCACATATTATTTCACTTGATTAAAGTCAGTATTATATATTATATAATAAAGAAACAAAATTAAATATAAAGACTATTAAAAAAAGAAATTGCAGACAAAAAAAAGAAAAAAATTATTATAAAATTTTTAAATTAAATTAAATTAAAATGATTTTAAAAAAATAAATATTATTAATTCAAATTTAACGAATGTCATTCTATCATAAAGAATGTAAAAAATTATTTTATTAAACAAATCGAATAAAAGAAGGTTAAAAAAATTAAATAAATAACATATAACTATTATTTAATTAATTAAAATTAAAAAAATTAAATTTTACCGTAAAAGAATTAAAAAATTTTATAGCAAAAAATAATATCAACAAAATTATTCCTCTCTACAAAGGAAAAAAAAAAACTCTCCCTGGACATAGAAAATCTCTCCATCCACAAAGAGATAGTCTCTCCTTTTGAAAGGAGAGTTCTCTCATTCTGACTTCTCATTCTGACTTTTCAAAAGGAGAGTTCTTCGTGCATGGAGTGATTCCACTCCGTGCACGGAGTGGTGATTTTTTCCCCTTATTTATAGTATTTTTTTATTAATAAATATTTAATTTAAAAAATTTAAATATAGTTAAATTTTTACTTTAAAATGTTGAAGTTAATATTTTTTTATCTATAAGTAACTTTTACAATATAAAAGTTTTTTTTATTACTTTTAAGTAACCTGAAATGATTTTTTTTATTTTTTTTTTACTTAGAAATAACTTTTAACAATCAAAATAGTGTAACTTTTTATTAATATTTAATCACGGAGTCCCTATATTTTTTAAAAAAAAATTGTTTATAGTAAATCCTTTCTTAATATTTAATTTTAAAAAATTAAATATATCTACATATTTATTTTAAAATGTTGAAGTTAATATTTTTTTTTTATCTATAAGTAGCTTTTACAATTATAAATTTTTTTTATTACATTCTTAATAACTTGAAGTGTTTTTTTTTTTTACATTCTAGATAGTGTAATTTATAAGTAAAAAAAATCACTTCAAGTTATTTAAAAAAAATAAAAAAATTTATAATTGTAAAAGCTACTTATAAATAAAAAATATTAACTTCAATATTTGTAATTAAATATCTAGATATATTTAACTTTTTAAAATTAAATATTAATAAAAAATTTAAAAAATTATTATAATTATAAAATATATATATATATATATAATACATGGAGTGCTTGGCACTTCTTGCAGCACTCCTTACACCTAGTATATGTTTTTTTTTTTAATTATAGCATTTTTTTATTAATATTTAATTTTTAAATAATTAAATACATCTAAATATTTACTTTAAAATGTTAAGATTAATATTTTTTTATCTAAGTAGCTTTTACAATTATAAGTTTTTTATTACTTTTAAATAACTTGAAATGATTTTTTTACTTATAAGTAACTTTTTATATTATCTAATATTTTTATTAATATTTAATTTAAAAATAAATATATCTAAATATATTTACTTAAAAAAATTTAAGTTAATATTTTTTACTTATAAGTAGCTTTTACAATTATAAGAGAATGAGAGATTAATATTTTTTTACCTGTAAGTAGCGTTTACAATTATAAGTTTTTTATTACTTTTAAATAACTTGAAGTTTTTTTTCTTATAAGTGACTTTTTACATTATGGATAGGGTAACATTTTTATTATATTTAATTTAAAAATTAAATATACCTAAATAAAAAATTTAAGTTAATATTTTTTTATTTGTAAGTAGCTTTTATAATTATAAATTTGTTTTACTTTTAAATAACTTGAAGTGATCTTTTAGTTATAAGTAACTTTTTATATTTTAGAAATAAAGAATAACTATTATGTAAGCAATTATTTAAAAATGTTATTACTAATAAAATTATAGGATATGGTCGATAGTTGATAGCATGAGAAAATGAATAAAGAGTATTATGTGTCAAATTCAAAACATGTAAGCTGCGGGTAAAATAGAAAACGACGTGGTTTCTACTCCATCAATTAAAATAAAAAGCTACATTTTATTTTAGAAATAAAGAATAACTATTATGTAAGCAATTATTTAAAAATGTTATTACTAATAAAATTATAGGATATGGTCGATAGTTGATAGCATGAGAAAATGAATAAAGAGTATTATATGTCAAATTCAAAACATGTAAGCTGCGGGTAAAATAGAAAACGACGTGGTTTCTACTCCATCAATTAAAATAAAAAGCTACAGTGTAACAAAATATTATTTAAAAAATCTATATTACTACTAATAGAATTATAGGATAATGTTGATAGTTAATAATATGAGAAAATGGAGAAAGAGTATTGTGTGTCAGATTCAAAGGACTAAATCAATTTCAAACATGTTCAATGTGAAAATCAATATGACAAAAACCAAATCATTTTGACCAAACTCATTTCAAACCAGTTGAATGTGAAAACGCATGTGATGAAAATGAACCGTCCAACTTTGTGCAAAAAAATCAGTAATTTCTACCTCCACCAATAGAAAAATTTTAAATAGAATAAATTAATATTGAAAAAAATTTAAATTGAAAAAAAAATCTCCAATCACCGAGAGAAAAAATAATTGAAAAAATTAAGCTTAATCATAAATAAAGAGAAAAAATTCATAAAATTTTTAAATAGAAAAAAATTGTATAATATCAACAAAACAAATTACAAAATAAATAAATAAGAAAAAAATTTCCCCATTGAAAATGATCTCTCGGTGAAAGACTCTCCTTTCACAGAGAGTTTTACTCACAGAAAAGAGAAAGGAGAGTTCTCAATTATTATTTTTTTCTTTGTGAAAGTATAATTTTTTTTCTATTTAAAATTTTTTTAACACTACTTTTTTTTATATTTAAAAATTTTTCAATTTTTTTATTGGTGTGAGTGAAAATTACTATTTTTTTTTTTTGCACAAAATTGGACTGTTCATTTTTGTCAAGTGCATTTTCACATTCCACTGATTTGAAATGTGTTTGGTCAAAGTGGTTTAATTTTTTTTATTATATTATAAAAATATATAAAGTAATCTACCATCTATCACTCTTTCAAGTCGCTCATTCTCCCTCATTCAATTCAATTGATTTCTGTCCAAAAGTTCAGCTTTCATGTAGAAAAAACTCTTCGAATTAATGTTTCTTTCTGTGGGAAAAAAAATATCGCGCAGTCCTTATCTCAATCCTAGGGAAGAAAATCGTAGAATTTGTGACGATTATTTTTGGGTATATTCTTGCAAAAAATTTTTGTCTGTATTTCCTTTTTTAGTTTTTTATGATTTATTTAAGGTACGCAGTTTTTATTTTTGTGTATAGATGAAAATCTAGTTTGATTTATCTTCCTCCATCTAGATGTGAGGTATGTTCTTATTTCTGTATATACGTGAAAATCTAACTGCAATTTTATTTTTTCTTGGATATGGCTATAAAGTTTATATTTTTGTTGGATGTTTGCTTTCTTATGGATTTATTTCTTATTTTCTTGTCGTTTCTTTAAGGACATAAAATGTGCAAAGTCTATAAAGAGAAAATGATTAAAAAGAAAAAGAAGTTTATAATATAAACAAAACAAACTTATAAAATATTATGTAATTAAACAAAAAAATTAAACAAATTAAAGTTATAAAAATGAAACAAAGATATATTAATATTATTTAATTAAAATTGAAAAAAATAAATTTCATCATAAAAAGGAAAGAATTAAAAAGAATTTTAAATCCAAAATAAAACAAATTATAATATGAATAAAACAGATTTAAATAAAAAATAGGGAAAAAATACTCTCCGTCCACTCCATGGACAGAGAGACAGAGAGATTGTCTCTCCCTTTGAGCTCTCCTTTTGAAAGGAAACTTTCTCTCCGTGAAAGGGGAGTCACTAGATAGAAATCTTATTTTATTTACTTACTTAATTTTTAAATTTTTTGTTTATATTATAGATAAATTTTTTAAATTTTTTTCTTATTGAACTTAATTTTTTTAATTATTGCTTTTCTCTCCTTCACAGGACAAATTTTTTTCCATTAAAAATTTTGTCAGTATAAATTTGTTCAATGTAAAATTATTTCAATTTTTCTACTGTGAAAATTACTGGTTAATTTGTTTTTAAAATTTTTTTTCGTATTATAAATAAAAAATTTTCTATTTAAAATTTTTAAAATTCTTTTATCTTTATGATTGAACTTAATTTTGTCAATTACTGCTTTTCTCTGCTTCAAAGGAGAAATTTTTTTATTCAAAATTTTTTCAATATGAATTTGTTTGATTTAAAATTATTTCAATTTTCTTTCTACTGGTCGAGATTACTGCTTTCTTTGCACAAAGCTGAACAGTTCATAATTATCATTACTATATTGAATCATTCAATTTCAAAATTAATATCACAAATAGCTTACCTCAAATGATTATTTTTATAAATAATTAATTCGCTTCTTCTTTAAACACTAAACTCATATCAACATTAAAAATGCTAATATGACGTTCAAAATAATCATGCCCGTGCATTGCATGGGTGATAGACTAGTCTCTTCTAAAAGAGGCAATCAAGGTTTACTATTCATTTGTGTAACCCTTCTTTTCACACTTACCCACTTCTTACTGT